AGATGCCAACACACATTCAACAGACATCGGACAATAATAAAAAAACAAACGTTATTGAAATACAGGCAGAATATAACAACATTAACAAACTGTTCGAACGAAATTCTAGGCGTTGTCGGTCAGGTGGCATTATGACGTTTGGTGGTAAACTGGTCCAACTTGCGTTTAAATGCCTCGACGGAGTGTGGACATGACGACATCTGTAGGCAGAGCATTCCAGGCCTCAATCACTCTGTTTGAAAAGAACTTCCGAATGTCCAGCTTGGCGCCAGTTACGCGTAGCTTAAGTGAATGACCTCTGAGGTTCGTTGTGGTCGCTAACTCAAAAAAATCAGCAGGTACGACACAGCAGTCGTGGCCGCGCGGTATACTGAATGTTTGTATAAGGTCGCATCTTAGCTATCTGTAACTCAGTGGAAAAAGTCCGAGATTGGACAATCGTGTTTCGTAGGGTAGTGAACCCTGTCCACTTACTAGTTTGATCGCCCGGCTTTGGACTTTCTCAAGGATGCTGAGATCTTTAGAGGTCCAGGGTTGTCACGCCTGAATAGCGAACTCTAGCTGTGGCCGTAGGAAAGTCCGAAAGACTTTAACGAAGCATTCCTCATCGAAGGTAGAGAAAGCTCTCTTGACAAGATAAAGGACTGACATCGCAGACTTGGCTACCTTGGAGCAGTGGAGCGCCGGTTTTCGAGAAGCCGTTACCCACACACCCAAGTCCTTCTGGGCGTCTACCTCCTGCAGTGGTACGCCATTTAGGTAGTGAACCCTCCGGTTTTGAGATCGGGTCCTGCCGACTCGCAAAGCATTGCACTTAGTCACATTAAACGGCAGAAGCCAGTCCTGTGACCATTTCTCGAGTCGGGTCAGGTCTGCCTGCAAGCGCTCTTCGTCAAATTCTGTTGGGATGACGATCAAAAGTTTAACATTATCAGCGAACATGGCGACATCATAATTCAGTTCACTGACGCAGTCGTTGACGTATATAATGAATAGGGTAGGGCCAAGAACGGAGCCTTGTGGATCACCGCTTCCAGCCGCTACCTCCGTCGACTGCCTGTCACCGACGTGGACGATTTCAGAGCGACCCATCAAGAAACTTTGTATCCACCTCGGGAGATTACCCCTAATGCCTATCCGGCTTAATTTGTACAGGAGACGCTGATGTGGTACACTATCGAATGCCTTCTTAAAGTCGACGTAGACTGCGTGCACTGCATTGCCGCCATCGACTGCCCGGGTCCAGCGATCTAAACAATAAAGTAGATTTGTCACGCATGATCTGCCTCTACGAAATCCGTGCTGGGCATCGCATAGCAGATTATGGTCTTCTAGGAAGAACATAATTTCTCGCTTAATTATTTTTTCCATTATTTTGCACCAAATTGAATTAAGGCTAATTGGTCTGTAGTTGTTTGCTAAGACCTTGCTGCCGCCTTTATTAATTGGCGTGATCGGCGCGGATTTCCAATCGGCGGGCAAGTAGCCTGCTTCGAATGAAGATTGGAATAGCATGGACAGCGGTTTAGATACTTCTCCAGCAAGCTCCTTCAACAATTTGGCCGGTATGTCATCCGGCCCAGGTGATTTGGACTCATTCAGCGTCAACAGTACTTTGCGAACAATAGCTTTGGCGAAAAAGACGTGCTTAATTGTTGGCCCGTCCACTATGTCGCAGTCGGGAGAGAGAAATGTGCTTTCCTTCGTAAAGATGGACTTAAACAATTGTAAAAGGTGCTGTGCCCTTTCTCCGTCTTCAATGAGTTCTAGGTCGTCACTAGTTTTCAGTAACGGGATTGGATCTCTGTTTCATGTGCTTCTTCTTATGAAACCATGGAATAACTTCGGATTTTCTGCGGCTCGATTCAGTAGGTCTTTCTCTAAAGTAGGTCGCGTCCCGAGGAGTAACCTCCTAAGTAGGTTCCTCTGTGCTTTGTACGCAATTATCGACACAGAGCTCCTATCCGAGAGGGATTTTCTCCATAACTTCCGTTTTTTATTCACTTCTTTTTTAAATCTTTTGTTAGCCACGGAGATCAGCTGTTCAGTTTCTTCCGTGAAGTAGGACAACGGTCTCTGAGAAGAACGTGCAGTAACCCAATAAACTAGAACTAATCCTTGATTATATCACCGGAAATAAGCTGATTCCCAGTTTATGGAATTTAAATCAGATTTCATTTGGGCAAGGTCACCGCGCCAAAATTTTCCTTCTAACCCTGATGGCCTGTTTGGGCAGAGGAAAAAGTAGAGTACTCCCACAGCAGTACGACGTGGTCGCTTCGACCTAGGGGGGGGGTAAATTATAATACCCGAGGCAAAACAAATAAGCTGTTTTATGGCTAAATTTTAGTTAGTATAATTTCCGATATTTGAATGAACTACTTCAAAAGTCCTTTCCTTAGCACTTTTACTGCGCAGATGCAACTGCAAACGGCTTTGCTGTTGACATTAATGTAGACTGATTTGAAGAATGTTCAGCCTGCTGATAGAAGCGAACAGGCGAGTCCCAGGTAGCAGTTCAGAAGATGAAGATGCGATCACTG